AAACCTGCTTTGGGACACTCTACACTTAATTTTGTTTTTTTTTTGGCTAGGCAATGGGGTTAAGTGACTTGCCCAGGGTCACACAGCTAGTGAGTGTTATGTGTCTGAAGCCAGATTTGAACTCAGGTCAGTGTTCTATCCACTGTGCCACCTAGCTGCCTCAGGGTATCCTTTAGCTACATCACAAATTTAATTGTTTTTCTTACAAAAAGCCTACTTCTAGAATCAGGGGACCTCAGCTAGGTGGCATAACTGATAGAGTGCTGGGCTTGGAGTAAGGAGGACCTGAGTTCAAATTTGGTCTCAGACAATTATTAGCTGTGTGACCTTGAGCAAGTCTCTTAGCCTTTGCCTGCCTCAGTTTCATCTGTAAAATGGGGATAATAGCAGCACCTTCCTCCCAGGGTTGTCATAAGCATCAAATGAGATAATACACAGCATTTCCCCAATCTGCCCAGTTTTGTAACCCCATCAGAAAAAGGAAATAACGTCTGCCTGTCTGCCATGACTTATTCTTGCTGAGGTCATGCTGGCTGGCTCTTTGTGATCACTGCTTCCCATCTGGATGCTCACAAACCATCTTTTTAATGATTCATCTTAGAATTTTCCAAGAAACTGGGTCAAACTGTGGTCCTGTGTTCCATACCCTGCTCTCATTGACCTTTCAAATATGAGAGTACATCTGTGATTGGATCTGCCAGTTCACCTGGCCTAAATAAGTAATCAAGGGCAGCTTGGTACTCTCCTAGTACAGTATCTGCTCAACTGGGATATCAACTGCCCATTAACCACTTTTGTTCTATATTTTCCTGTCCCAAGGGCATTCTTCTTGGCAGAGGAAACAGGAGCCAAAGAAGGAGCTTCTCTGCCTTGTATCAGTTTCCAGTTATCTTTGTCCTTCCCATCCCGAGCAATGGTCTAGTGGCTAGCTGCTAGGCTTTCTTTGATCGTTGTATCTCCTGCAGTATAACTAACACACTAACCTCTGTGTTGTCCATACTTTTATTCACTGGCCTTGGTTCGTTCTGAGATTTGGCATTCCTGGCACTACCCTTATATATCATGCCACACTTCTGCACATGCTTTTTAAAAAAGTTAGGTTGGGTAGTAAATTCTATATGCATTCATATCAGTCTCTTCAAACAATCAGCTTTCCCTCCTCGATGGAATTATTTACCTTTATAGCCCCATCATTTCATGGTTGAAATTTCCCCTCCCTCCTATGGTATCATCTCATGTAGAATTTTAATCCATGGTCTCCTTTTTTCTGAACACTTTAAAAATTGCTGTCCTCAGATCGGGCTTTGCCATGTTCTTTCCATTTCTATTACAAACTCGAGGAAGGAGTGTCCTCTCCTCCCCAAGTTCTTCTTCATTTTTAATCCAATCAGATCCAGAATAAATAGGCTTCTCCTTGGTTGGTTCCTTTGCCTTTTGAAGGATGGAATTGTCACGAAGGCAAGTCAAACCATTATCTGCTGCTGTGCTTTAGTCTTCCTGACTCCAGCTCCACCACTCCATTCAATGTGCCACCCATCTGCCATGGAGTCTGGCCCCTTTCCAAGCCATCTTCCACATAGCTGCCAAGATAATCTTCCTAGAGCACAAGGCTGCCCATTTTACTCTTTTCCTCAAGATCCTTCAGAGGCAATAGAGATTGCCTTTAGGATAAAATGCAAACTCTTCTGACTGGCATTTAAATGAAGCTTTTTATGATTTGGCTCCTGCCTACCTTTCCAGGCTGGTTGCATATTGCTCCTCTTCCTGCATAACACGTCCCAGGCAAACGAGGCTATCGTATGTTTCCTGAACTTGGCATTCTGAGCTACCAAATATAGTTCCCACTCTTCTTTCCAGACATTTTCTGTTACTCCCCTTCATATGTTCATCATTCCAGCCAAATGGATCTACTTACTCTTCACCAATTTCAACATTCCAACTTCAACCTTCCTTCATGCCTTTGAACCTTTTTTTCAAAGGCAGCTTGGGGCTGCACCCTCCCCACCCCCAACCCTAAAATGTACTTCCTCCTCATTTCCACCTTTTAGAGCCCCTAGTTTTCTTCAAGGTTCAACACACATGCCATCTCCTAGGGGAAACGTTTCCTGACCCTCTAAGTTAGCAATTTGTCTTTTCAGATTATCATGAATATATTTATCTGTCTATGTGTTGTATCCCCCAGTAGACTGTAAACTCCTTATCTTGTATCCCTGGCATCTAGCACAGTGCTTTGCACATAGTAGGCACATAATTAATTTTTATCGAATTAGATTAGATAACCAAACTGAAGCTCAGAGGGGTGATATCATTTACTCTAGGCCATAGAGTTATTGACTACCATGCTGGACCTCAGGTTAGGAAATACAGGGTGAATTGTTCACATTATGATTTTGATCTAGGTTCTTGAAATAACATGTCATCTTTTACTGAGAAGCAGTAAATGATACTAATAAAATAAGAAGATGAATGATTACATCTGAAAACATCAGTATAAATATGGCTATAATTAATGCATTTCTTAGTGTCTGTTATTTATGGGACATTAGCCCAGTTGCAAATGTGACATATTACTGGAAAGTAATAAACTTCCTTTTAATAGTCTATAATTCATGTTAATCCCAAAGGAGTCTGAGTTTCTGTGTGTGTGTGTGTGTGTGTGTGTGTGTGTGTGTGTGTGTGTGTGTGGTGGAAATGGGTGGGGGGCTAAGGAAACTCAAATTCCAGCTAATGTCAACCCTCTTTGGTTAATCATTACATCATCTCCAAAACTGTCTGGCCCACTTTAATATTGTCTGATGAGCTAGAGTTTTCAATTATTCCATCTAATCTTCGAAAAACTAACAACCTCAAAAGCAAGAAAACCTTTGCTACCCTTTCAATAATTACTCTTTGTCATCTTCAGTTGTTGGGCTAATGGCAAAGATCAATACATCTTGTAACTTTGAGTTGGGGGAGAGGTAAGGGGAGAGATGTATCTCTATTGAAAGGCAAATGAACATGTGATCATCTCCAACCCTTACTTGTTATAATTACTCTCCATCTCCCCAGAGGACCCCTGGACCTTCTCTCTTGGGGTTGTGGGAAGCCAAGAGAAGAATCAAAGTAAGGGTGTGGGGGAGGAAGGCACCTTGAGTCCAATCCCACTCCTTTGGTTATGAGGCACGGTGATAAGAACATGTACCAGAGGGGTAGCTAGGTGGCTCAGTGGATAGAGCTCTGGCCTTGGAGACAGGAGGATCTGAGTTCAAATCTAGTCTCAGACACTTGACACTTACTAGCCGTGTGTGACCCTGGGCAAGTCACTTAACCCCTGATCGCCTCACCAAAAAGCAAAAAAAAAAGAACATGTACAAAACGGAGTGACCGTGTCACTGCCTCATTCTATCCTGGGATTACCTACAGTATAAAATACAAACTCTTCAGCCTGACATTTTAAGCCCTCCAAAATATGGTTCCCACTGTCCTTTCCAGACATTTTATGTTACTCTCCTTCATATGTTCATCGTTTCAGCCAAATGTACTTGCTATTTACCAATTTCAACATTCCCTCCAGCCTTCATGCTTTTAAATAGGCTGTTTCCCCATTTCTGGAATGAATTCCCTTCTCACTTCACCTCTTAGATTTTGATGCTCTTCAAGGCTCAGCTTGGGTGCCACCTCCTTCACGAAGCCTAGATGATCCCAACTCCCACCCCTAGGGTTTTAGTGTCCCACCTCTAAATTACCACACAGTCCCTTAGACCTGTGTGTGTGTGTTGTGTCCCCACTAGAGAAGGAAAGCTCCTTGAAGTCAGGGCTGTTTTGTTGTTACACTTGTTCCTCCAATGCCTCACATAGTTCTTTGCACATGGTAGACATTTAATAAATGTTTGTCAAGTTGGAATGACTGGGGGAGTGGCATGCCAGTGGCATGCCATGGCATGGAATGGAATAACAGTGGAATCGAATGTCTGTCGGGTTCACACCCTTGTGACCTTCATTGTTTTATCTGAGACCTTTGCCAGGCTTTCCCAGGGTGGGTGGAATGGCAGCAGTGGCCAGAGTGTCCTCTGCCCTGTGACCTTATGAAGATCAATGCTACTAATCTCGCCCCTTCCCCCAAACTCCTTCCTAACCCTCCCTTCCCTATCCTCTTGCTGGAAACCCTGCCCACGGGAATGCAGCCAGTTTTCTGAGCAGAAAGGGGAAGGGGAATGGGAGCTATTGGTATCCTCTCCACTCCTCCTTCCCCCATGGTTCTTCAAACACCTAGATTTTTATTCATTTTTATTTTTTAAAAAAAGGAAATCTAAATAAGTTAGCAAAAAAAATACAAAACAATGGCAAAACCACACAGTGCTTAGTAAAAAAAAAAAAAAAGAAACCAACAACCCTCAAGATCCCCACTGCCATTTCCCCCTCCCCCCAGCCTCCTGTAACCTTACTCCCAGGAGCCCCTGACTTTGGCACAAGGAGACATTGGTCAAATGTCCACTTTATAAAAACAAAACAAAGCAAAACAACACAACACTGGGAGGACCCCAATAATAGCTTGGCCCCCAGGCATACCTGGATAGAGCATTTCCCCTATTGAGGGCGGGCCCAGCCCAGCCACTGGAATCAGGGAGAGATGAGAGCATATGGGTCACACTGCCCAGGCTCCTATCCCTATCACTCATAATGTTTTTTTTTTTTGGGGGGTGGGGGGTAAGACAGAGGGACATTTTGGAAAGGGTCAGCTGCCAGCCAGGTTGACATGCAGGAGCGGCCACCCAGTATTCCCTGATTTCTCTCCCTGGAGAGAAGGGAGCTGAAAAAACCCAGCTGAATGGGGAAGAGACCTCTCTTCAAAGGCTGTGATCCAACTTCTCAGAGACACGGGAAAGTCTGTGAGACTTGGTAGCTCTGGTGGGTGACCTCCTGGCGTTGGAACATCCAAGGCTGTGAGATCCCTGCTTTGGAGGCAGTGGTATCCGTGGCCCTGGCCCCCTTGGAAAGCCACCCCCACCTCATAGCTGGCTTCAGTTCGGTATGGCTTCATCTGGGAAGGCTGCGGAAACGTCTTCCACTGTGATGCTGTCCACAATGGACGTGAGGGAGTGCAGGTTGTGGGCATCGGAGGCGTCATCTGGGAGCAAATGGTCTGCGGTGGGGAAGAGAAGGTACAATATTAGCTGTAGGCGAGGAGCAGAATGGGATTTGGAGCCCAGAAAAGGGAAGTAATGGAATAAGATGGGATATTTGAGATAAGTGTAAGCAGACCCCAGTAGTCCTTGTCCTAAATGTGCAATCTCCGTGTGTTAATGTGAATGTGTGTATATGTGAATACGCAGTCCACTTAGGCTTGATTTAGCAATTCCCAGGGACCCCTGGGGCAAGTACCCTTTTTGCCTTGGGGAATGTCCAAAGACTTAGTGGGGTGAGAGTGAGGTAGGCGAGGAGAGGAGGGGATGAAAGCACACAAATATCTCCTCTGACCAGTCTGGGAGCAGGGAGGACTGTAACCAGAGGGACAGAGGGAATAGAGTGGAGATACAAAAAGCGTGATGGAAACTGCAGCCTCTAGCAGAGGAGAACAGGGGCTTTAGGGTGAGATTGGGTAGCTCGGAACTTACCCCCAGGGTTGCTGCTGAACTCCAGTGCAGTACCCCACTCAGGACTACAGGAGGCGCTGTGGGAGCCGCATTCACTGGGCACCTGTTAGACAGGGTGGGGGACATGGTGAAGGTGCTCCAAGGATAGAAAACACTCCAGTTCCCCAAGGGTTCTCCCTTCTTACTACCCCAGGAGAACCAGAACTAAACTCCGGGGTCTGCGGCTCAGGCTACAGAAGCCCATCTGTAGGAGACACTACCACTGCCTCAATTTGGCTCCAAGGATCTCTAAGCCCAAGGAACTCTCTGGGGTCCCAGTGACGAGTTCCGGCTCTCCTAAGCTCCGCCTAACAGTCACTGCGAAGACTGCCTCTGCTTGTCTGGGAGCCCGGGACGCTGGACTTCTCCCTGTAGTCGTCTCTAGTCAGCGCCCTTCCCGGGACTCCCATCACTCTGTCCTTGTGGCTTTGGTGTCAGGGTGCTGACCCCGGGCGACATCCTTTGTTTCTGACTCTCTAGAGGGCAGGAATTTGCCATGGTGAGAGAGCGCCCTTCCTCTTCCTGCCCTGCCGGACGGGTCCCCCCTCCCTGGAGAAGTAGGGGCGTTTTCTCTCTGCCCAGCAGCTATCTCCTGGTCCTCCTCTCTCTCTGGCCTGGGGCAGAGCTGTCGTGAGCCCCATGGGCTTGTCGCAGATCGCCAACACCACAATCCCCTGTTAAATGCTCAAACCCATATGCTTGGCTCCCTCTCCACCAGGCAAACTAAATTCCCACTCCCAGACACCCTTTCAGGCTCTCTCTGCCAAAGTTTTTCCTCACATCAATCTGGAATGCCTTACTGCCTTTAAACCCTGGTCTGGGGCTGACCCACTTAGACCCTCGGTCATCCCATCCAATTTTCCTTCCCCCCAACCCCTGCTCGGCCTCATGGGGGCCTCTTGAACCATTTCAGCACCCCCTCCCCAACCCACGCTGACTCAGGGTGGGAGTGGAGGGGGGAATGCACCCAGAACCTCAATGGCTGCTCGGAAGCATCTTCCTCCCTGTCCTTGCTACCTGACTTCCTTCCCTCCCATTGCAAAATGCCCCAGCCCTGCTTTTGGAAATCGAGTCCACCCACATGCATCCTGGAACGGTCCTGGAACGATCCTGGAACAGGAGGCAGAAGCTGCCACTTACCCCTGGCTGGGGCCCCGCCGAGCGGTAACAGGCCAGGTCCCGCTCCTCCTGGTTGAGGGAGCTGAGCAGCGCCTGGAGACGCTCGATGTATTGGATGGCACTTCGCAGGATCTCCACCTTGGGCAGCCGCTGGTTGGGGTTGAGCAGGGTGCTCCTCTTAAGGGCCTCGAAGGCCTCGTTGACCTTCTTGAGCCTTCGCTTCTCCCTCAGGGTCGCTGCCCGCCTTCGGTCCACGGACACCGTCTTCCGCTTGCACACCTTACAGGCCCATGGCAAGCACTGGCCAGGGCAGTGTTCAGCTGAACCCGAGCCCTTGTCCTCCAGGGGTACCCGGCAGTCAGGGCCCAGGCCCAGGTCAGCCCGCTCGTAGCTCGGGGGCTCGAAGCCCGGGAGCCGGACAGGCAGGTAGTTTTCAGTTTCATAGAAGCGGGGCTCAGGGTAGAAGTAGGGAGAAGTCTCATAGAGCTCCATGGGGTCAGGAGATGTTTGCTCTTGCCACCAGCCCCCGGCCTCCTGCAACCCCTCAAACCCCTCACACCAACTGCCGGGTGCCATTTAAACCCTTCCCGCTGGCATGGAATCAGAGATAAATATAGCCGACCCCTTGGAAACCTGAGCCTCTCTCTAAGCTGTTGCTGCACATCAAGACATTTACAGTGGATTAGATGTGATTCCCCCTTCCCCCTCTCCCCCCCTGGCTTTCGGCCCCCCCTGTCCCCTACCCCAGGCCGGCCTGCCCCAAGCAGGTCCAGTGGCTCCTGTGCACGGGGAGGGAGGCCGTTGGGTGTAATTTGATTAGTTTTCGTTTCTCTGAAGCCCCTGTGGGGCAGGGGAGGCGGGAGGCTGCACAGCATTCTTTCCTCATCTGCTCCTTTCAATTATGCCTAGTCAGGCAGCCTGGCCCCCCTGGGTCCCTGAAGTGGCAAGACAGAGAGGTGAGGGGGTGGGCTTTGCTTGGAAGGGACCTTGAAAGGTCATCTCACCCACACCTCTGTTCTCCAACAGAAGCTCATGTAAACATCCCAATCTCCTGAGATTCTATCCTGGCTGAAAAGACTCCAGCCTAAGGAAGGAGATTCTATAAGCTCTTCGTGTTTCTTAAAAGCGACATGACCTTGGGCAAGTCACCTGCCCTGTCTGAGCCTCAGTTTCCTCATCTGAAATATAGAATTGAACAAGATAATCCCTAAAGTCTCCCTCAGCTCTTCAGTTTCATGACATGACTCATAAGACTTCATTGCCAGAAAGTTCTTCCTTGGGTCTAACCCAAGCCCCTTTTGTTAGAATGTAAACCCCATAACTTCTTGTTAGGTTCTGGGTAGGGGGAAGCTAGCTGATGTCTGTCTGGATAGGGACAGAATAGTCATGGAATCTAGAGGGACAAATGGTTCCTAGCTCCCCCTTTTTTTTTCAGAATGGCCTTGACATCCTTCGCTGTCTCTTGTCTGAGGGAGTCACGGGGACAGAACTGGGAGAAGGAAGGCTTCTTGCTGAGGGGCACAGCTTATTTGGGTTAGAGCTGCTATTTGGGCACAAAGTCTCAGCCATGTTACCTTTACCCATTTTCACATGCGTCAGGAGCCATTGGGAGCTGATTATCCCACTTACTCTGGCCCACTCCCTAGCCAGCCTGAAGCCACCTTGCTTCTCTTCTTGATCAGGGGGATCCCTCCTTCAAGGGGTCACCAGGAACAGTTCTGGCTGCAATATGAGGGTGGTGATTGGAAGTTTGTAAGCTTGGGAATGACAGAGAACAAGGTCCCTTAAATCTCACCTTCTCCTCAAAGCCCTCATTCTTTTCCAGTTAGCAGGAATCACTCCTCACCCCTGAACTCCAGAACAACTCATAGGTTTCATAGGATTGAGAGCTGGAAGGGACCTCAGCATCTAAGCCATATCCCTTATTACATATTGTGTTTGCCATACAGGTAGTTAGCATGTTTTTTGCATTGTTAGTGATCTTGTTTGCCATGTGGAAGAAGTGTTGGACTTTTATACCCAGCTCTAGAGGGCCAAACCAGGATCAATCAATGGAAGTTTCAGGGAGGCAGATTTTTGGCCCTGTATAAGGAAAACCTTTCTAACAGAACAATGAGAGCTGTCCAACACCCAGGAAGAAATGACTGACTTCTTGTCAGGGATGTCCTGAAGGGCATTCCTGTACTGGCTAGAGAGATGGATCAGCCTTCAAAACAATTTCCCAATTCTAAGGTTCTGTCATTCTGTGGTTCTAGAGCATAAGCGTCCCAAGTACAGGGATTGTCTTTTCTCTTGTTTAGCATAGTTCCTGGAACACAGTAGGCACTTAATAAATGCTTATTGGCTGATTCTGTTGCCTTAATGTACTGTAAGCCTTGTGAAGGCAGAGATCATACCTTAAGTATCTTTTTATTTTTCCCAGTCCTAGCTTCATTGCTTTGCACCTGGAGTAGAAGGTGTTTAACAAGTGGTTGTTGAATGAATGAATAAATGAATGATCTGTTGAGGAACCAGAGGAATCTCTCTCTCCACCCTGGCCTTTCATTGGCTCAGCAACAGCTAACTTTCATATCTCAAGTTGGCCTCACAACTCCCCTTGATATAGTCCACCATGATATTAAAAAAACACTCTTACTTAAATAGTACTTTAAAATTTACAAAACACCTTTTTCACGAAACTCCTGGGAGATAGGAAAACAAGCATTATTATCCTCATTTTATACATAGTTAAGTGGTTTTCCCAATAAGTATAGGAGCTAGAATTCAAACCCAGGTCTCCTGATGGCAGGTCTAATACTTATTTTTTTTTAAAAATTTATTTAAAAAATTTTTTGTTGATGTCTAAGAGTAGTCAGTCTCATTTCCCAGTACTCTTTGCTAATAAAATTCACTTTTGTAAGAAAATAATATAGTTAAGCGCAGCCAACCAAAACAATGATTGTAACCAATGGCATATGGTGCATTCTGTACCTATGGCCTGCCACTTCTCTACTTAGAAGGGACATATCAATCAGTCAATTAATGAGGGCTTATTAATCACCTGCCGTAAACTATGTTTCATCATCTGTTCTATCATCAACATTGGTCAGTACATTGATCTGAGCTCGGATGTCCTCTAGGGTTTTTTCCTTTATATTATTAAGGTCATTGCCATCTCTGTGTGACCTTGGGCAGATCACTTCATGTCTGCCTCAATTTCCTCATCTATAAAATGGAGTGATAATAATAGCACCTAGATCCTAGGTTGTTGTTAGGATCAGATGAGATAGTATTTCTGAAGTACTTAGCATAGTGCCTGGCACATAATAGGTATGTCCCTTTCTTCTCCCCTCTCTCCATTACAGCACACTGCCCCTTCTGTGTTGCTTCTTGTTCTGGGGCAGTCATTCATTTCAGGTGTTGTTTTTTCCCCTAGGTTGGACATTCTCTTTTCATCAAAGGCTAAGGGAAAAGAACAAAGATGGTGCAGTGAGGGGGACCATGTGTATTGCAATGAGGAAAGGGGAAAGGCGTCAGGGAGTTGACATTCATTGAGAAACATCACTGACATACAAATATCCTATGAGGCAGCTCCAGGCACTTTGGGAGCCAAGAGCCAGGACTGCTTTGGCTAAAAGGCCTGTGGTGTGCTCCCCTCTCCCCATTCTGTACATTCTCACCCCACAAGGCAGGAGTTAGCCTCAACGGTGCTTAGAAGCTGTAGGAGAAAGTGAGCCCTCTGTCAAGTCCTCTACTCAAAGGTTTGTGGAAAGAATGGAAGATAGGTCAGGGGTCTGGAGGAAGGGGGCCGAAGAGCCAGTTCTGCTCTGCCTCTGTTATACAACAGCATTGGTCTTTGGCATGAAAATACTGAAGGTTTTTGTATAACTTCTCCATGATAATAAAGGGTTGGGGGCATGTTTCCAAGGCTCTTGGGCAAAAGCAGCTAAGGCAAGCTGAGGGTTTTTTGGGCTGACACCTGGTGAGTACCAGAGTTTACATCTGTGACTTATTTCCTGTGTGACCTCAGACAAGTCTCAACCTCTCTGGGCCTCAGTTTCCTCATCTGTAATATGAAGAGGTTGAACCATGAGTCAACAAAAGTTACCATGAACTTGGGCTACATTCAGGGAGGCCTAGCTCCCTGGAGGAAGGTGGTAATAACATTTCCACTGTCAATAATGCCAGGATATTGATAGTGCCCCTGGTCAGACCCTACCTAGAGCATTGGATCCAGTTCTGGACACCACATTAGAGGAAGGGCTTTATTAGGCTCAAGAGCATCCTGAGAAGGGTAACCAGGCTGGTGAAGAGCCTTGAGTCCATGCCACCTGAGGATCATTTGGAGGCATTGGGAATGTTTGCCCTGGAGAAGTGTCAGGAGGACATGAGAGCTGTCTTCAAGTACTTGAAAGGCTCTCTTGTGTAAGATAGATCTGTTTCACTTGGCCCCAGAGGGCAGAACGAGGAACAGGGGAGGAAGTGAGGAAGGAGGCTTGCTGACAGGATTACAGTGGTTAGAGTTGCCCTAAAGTGGGCTGGGCTGCCCCAGAAGGTGGTGGGTTCTTCAAGCAAAGGCTGCTTGACAATTGTCTGAATGTTGGAGGTGGGATTCTGTCTCTGACTGGGCTGGACCAGATGGCCAGTGAGGTTCCTTCGGCTCAGGAATTCTGTGACTACATAACCTCTAAGGTCCCTTCTAGGTCTGAATCTGTGCTCATAATGATGCTTCTACTCTACAGATCCTTTCTGGAATAAATAAATTATTTCTGCATAAATAACTAAGGAGATCAAGTTAGAAATGTTTGTACAACTGGCCTTAGGAGCCCCATGTTCCCCTCATCTTCACTGTTCTCTGTTACGTTCATCCTGCACTCACCGCTTGGTTGGTTGGTTCATACACAATGAGGACCAAAATGGCACCACTATGTTGGAGTCAATGTACAGTGTATCTGACTGTGGCTGATCAGATACCCCCTTGGCTGTTGCTGGGGAGGTCTCCAGGAAAAGGGTTCAGGGTAGGACCGTGTCAGGGATGAGCCCGTATGTGGATATAGGAAGGCCTCAGGATCCCAACTTAGGGTCCACTGGAATAAGGGCACAGCATTCATGTTCCCAGTTAGATGCAGTTGCATAACTGGGTGCTCTATCCCCTAGAGAGTATGACCTGTATTCCTAGTTTCCCCCAGCTCCCTGGAAGATGTGGGTGGGAGAAGAGGGTGCAGATTGAGATGGGGGTGTGGCAGTAGTTAAGACTCTTGACCCTGGGGTATAAGACCATACTTGCAGTGCTGGGGTCTGGCTGCTGGGACTGTTGGGTGGTGGTAGACTGAGCAAGGGAATAGAGGCAGTCTTGCTGCAGATGCAGGGGGCTGCAGTATGGGGGCCTATAAAGATTATGGGACCAAGAAGACTGCAGAAGGAAAGTTGCACCCTCCTTTCCATACACACAGATGTCAGGCATTATGGGACAAAGTATCCATTGCTTCACTGTAGTTACGGCTTTGTAAAGTTTTCCCTCTGGAGACCTCAGTGTATTTTGTTCTGCACCCTTCGACTGTACTAGTGTTCTGTATGTGTGTCATTTTCCTACTGGA